TGTATTTTTGTGTCTTGATAAGTTTGGCTCATGCCAAGCTTTGCAAGTACTTGGACATTTCGGGCTTCATGCAACTTAAATTGATGTACATGAACTTGATCAGGTTTGATTCAACGGCTTTTCACCAGAAAGAACAAGCAGCTCAATGATTTAGACTTCCAGATGTGTTGAATAAAAAAACTTGTCTGAGGTGATTCAACGATCTTATTCAAGATGATGGAATGAAACGAGAGCTTGGTTTTAACTCATAACTGGTTAAAACCAAGTTATGAGGAATGGCATCTCAAAACCCAACACCTCAAAACACAAAGCAAGTACACGATGGCAGCTGGTTTCTTGGCGCCCAATAACAATGGACCATTGTTTAAGCAACTCAGGATTTGCTGAACTATCAATACTCAGTCTTCTGATGGCTACTTAATGCAAAATGAAGCACATTTTTCTTTAACATGGTAGTAAGTTCATCTCACTAGATCTCAATCCAACAGAAGAACCCTTGGGATGTTACGGACTGGAAGATTTACATTATGGATTTGCGGCAACAACTCTTTGGCGATTGTTTGTTACACCTTGTGGAATTTTTTTAGAAATTAAGGCATGTCTACTAGATTCAATGTATGACTAGATTAAATGTCATACTTTGAATCTAGTAGGTTGGATGCTTAACTAAGAACTCAACTTGTTTTAAACTCTACAATAACTCACATATTGCAATTACCTTTTTTTTATCACCATTTCTTGATAACCGCTTTCTTGCAGTGACTCATGGGGCTTCCCATGCTGCTGATGTGGCAAGTCATTCCCTGCACAAGCCTGTGTGCTATACTGTTACTGGAAAGCTTTTGTAAATGTGAAGCAGTCGATGTGTAAGATCTGCCAGAAAAGAAGATTAGGCCCAAACCAAGTCCTCATCTTTCTTGGAACAAGTTGGGTGTTAAGAATGAGTTCCTTTGAGATCATCTGACAGAAAACCTGACCGTAATGCCTTGATTTAAAGACGGTAGGCCACATCCTGCTGGATTTAAATTTGCTGTGCCTGAATCACTTGCAAACACAAGCGTGCTGTTTGAGTGTTTGTCCGTAGACGTTGCACGAAGCCATTTTCAGCCTGTTGCTCAGGCTGGCTGTAATTGTCCTGGGAATCTTCAGCACTGTGTAGTAAATCAGCCCTCTGGTACACTCTGTTCTCCGCTGTGGGATGGCCTCAGTGTACGTGTTGTGTGCATGCTTAACATAATGTGAGCTGAGAGGGAACATAGCTAAGAAATAATAGGGGTTGGAAATTATGTTTGGAGGGAAGGAAACGACAGCTCTCTGTGACATCAAGCTTTTCATTTGCCAGAAGCAAAGCACTTTCTTTAAAGATGTAAAGAAAAAAAAAATTACTCATGCATAGAACTGGTGACATTGATCGTCTTTCTTCAACTTTTTTCTTGTTTGTAAATATGAGATGGCTCTTTCTTCCTCTCCAGAGTCACATTGCAAGTTAATGCTAGAACTCAGAACGAGAGTCACTTTCTTTCGCCTTATTTCTGTTTTAATCTGATCTGACAAGCTGTTAGGTTTTAGCTTGTTGCCAGAGGGAGACTTGTCTCATTCTGTGTCATATTAGGGTCACTCCGTGGTCACCAGTGTGTTTGCTTTTAGCAGCACTGACCTCTGAACCTGGAGAACTTGCTGCTCTCTTTTCACTGTGACACTTTTTATTCCTTTTTTTTTCCATTGCAGTATTCTACTCCATTTTCTGTTTCACCTTGTTTAATTTTTTTTTTCTTGAAACACATAGCTTTTTTGGTTCAAACAAATCCTCTAGACTTTACACACTTTAGCTGCTTAGGGTACTCTAATCTGAGCCCACTTGCAAATCAACCTCAAATCTTTTAAAATCTTATTCCAATCTATAATGTGTAAAATGTGGTTTCATTAAAGTTTTATATATACAATTTGGCTAAACTGAAATTCTAAATATTTTTTTTTCAAATACAAACTGCATTTCATATTGAATTAACAAAGCAGTAAACAACTTAAAGCCTCAATAATATTCCAACTATGACTACTTGCTACGATTTGCACCTTAATCAAATAATCAAACTTTTATTTAATAGTATTTTTTACTATTTTATCCACTTTTTTTTTTTGGGTGAGGAGAGAAATTTAATTCTTTTTAGTAAGATATCGATCCAAGAGGTGCAAGTCTGTTCCAGTTTGCTCAGTAACAGTAAAGTCAGTGTATTCATATGTATTAGCATATGGGCTTAGCTTACCAAACAGAGGGCACGGCTTTTAAACCCAGAGCATGAGTTTCCACTGAGCTGTCTTGTTTTCTCTCTGCCTCTAGACAGATTTCAAGTATTAGACCTATGCGAGTGCGATGCTTCTTTAAGCTGTTCTTGTACACCTAAACTTTTCTGCTTTGAATTAAGGCAAAATCGCCTTTTGAATTTAGTTTCACAGACACAATATTGTTGTTTGCAGAACTTTACATGTTGGTGTTGAACAGAATTATGTGTATTATTGAACTGATCAAAAAAAAGCTTTAGAATGAATTAAACTTCATTTGACTTAATATGGTAGAAAGTTCCTGTGGAGGTTGGAAAAGTTAAGAATTTTTTTGGGTTTGATTTAAGTGTGGAAAAACAAAATGTAAATATGTTTTTACAGGTTTATTCATCCACAGTGAACATCTGTTTAATTTTTAAAATGGGCTAAGGACCAATGAATTTGGTGCATTAGTTTTAATTTTTGCCCTCGACTGTCATGACTCGCCAGGCTTCCCACTGACGTTTCCTTTATTTGAGGAAGTGCTGAAATATTCGATTAACAAAAGCACATGTTGGTGTCAGGTGCTCTTAGTGTAAATTTACTCAGTGAGCACAAAGAAGGCCTTTGCCCTGGATCTCATCTCCAACGCTGCAAACTCACAATGGATCCCTCTGGATTCAGTACAAGATCAAGGCCAACAGCCCCATTCACAATTCTTCCTCAAACCAGTCTAAGTAGAAGAGGACCATGTGGTCACATTGTTTGTGTGTGTGTTCTTGCTGTCCAGAGCTTTCCAGCGTTGCTCAGAGCAGCGTGGGGTTCGTTGAGTTTCTAGGGGTTGCTGGGTTCGCTGTGCTGCTCAGAGCTAGCTTGCCTAAAGTCCTGTCCTTGAACTGAGAGAGAATATGCTGCTAGGGAAAGGCTTTTCAGACAGACTGACTGCAATAGTTGAAGTCAAGCCAGCTGAATTGAAGCCAGGCAAGACAAATCCTGGACTAGTAATCCTTCCACAGTAGCCAGCTGATAGTTGACGTTATAGCGGCATATCATAATAAGGATTTTCTTGTCACTTTGAATCTCTGAGACCATAATAGTATATTCAGAATTTCTCCTGCTTTCCAGCACCATTTCTGATTACATTTGATGCTAATTGACTTGGTTTTCCCTAGGTGAAATAAGATAATACTTGACATGCTGGTGGAACAACCACCCACCCAGGGGAATGGAAATGTCTAAACTGCAAAGAAAATGTCTACATTCAGCCCTTTATGACAGCTGTAAACCAAACTTCCCTGAAGGACCGGAGCTGTTTTCTATCAGGGGTTCCAGGCTGAAAGCCGGGGCCAGCACATACTTCTGTCTTCAATTAGAGCAAAAAACTTAAAAACAGTAAGCTGTGATTCTGAGTGTAGGCCAGTTTTATGGGGTTTCATAAGCACAACATGCTTGTTTATGCCTGCATTAATCTTGAAGCTCAGTTTAAAATGGTAAAAGTTATTTCTGCTGCTGCTGCTAGAAAAATCTAGCATGTTGATCATTCCAGTTCTAATATTCATCTGTTTCATTGTTTTGGTGTATTAAACTTAAAATTTTAAATGAAAAAGTGCCAAATTCAGTAATTAACAGAAGTCTTATAAAGTCTGTGCATATAATATGGGATCCACAATAACACACTCCACTCCATTTGCTCTCTATAGTGGAAAAACTGTATCTCAACCTGATATACAGGTTAACGATATCAAGCACATAGGCTGGGCTATGTGCTTGTGTGGCCAAGTTTTGGACGTGTTGCTTTAGTCAGAGTAATGTGTTGACAATATTTATCTTCCACATCATGACCGTTTCTATTTTTTAAATCTGTAAATATTTCCATTAAGCTTACGTAAAAGTGTAAATGACTTCTGTTAGTCAGCAGTATAGCAGGCAACAGAAAAAAAAACCACAGGGCTGATGCAAGGCCTTGGAAAAAAAAAAAAGCTAAATCTTCAAGGTCCTACATACTGGTACATTTCTGGTACAATCATGAATACAACATGCAAACGGTGTACAACAAAGCTGCTTCAAGGGATTTTTGTATCAAAAATGATCAAATAATTATGTATTCAGAATTAGTTAGCACCAACTTGTATGCTAGTTGTGCTAAAATGAGCTAGTCTATCACCAAAGCTATTCAAGCCTAAAATAGCATCTCTTTTTGTTTCTAAAAATGATTAAGGGTTCCTGAAACACTTGAATGTTGAATAAAATAGCACTTTACATCAATCTGATCATCGCATAACCTAAATGACAGATTAAAAATAACACGTTTGTTGTTGGACTTACATATACACTTATTCAATAATTTATCAACAAAAAGGAGTTTTGAAGAAGATTGTTGCTTTTTTTTTTGTCTATATGGTGTTCAATTACAATGTGATTAATGACAGACTCTGCAGTTAACCTGGTTAAATTTTTTTGTTTTTATCTATCTGCCTTCAAGCTGTCAGAAAACAGACACTTACTGCCAAAGTCAACCCCAAATGTCTTATGATGCTTCAGTCTCGCACAGCACATTTTAGCTCACCAGTTTTAAATGCCTAAAAAAAATTACTGCTGCATTTCTCAGGAAGTTTACTTTTTTAATAACTGATATCCTGTTGGCTTTTCTTGTCTGTCACAGCATCCAGATATTGGATTTAAAGTTAGTAAGAAAAACAATAATTTAACTGCACTAATCTGTTCTACACATGTCTTCTCAGGTTCTGAGACACGTTGCTGCTCGCTGGAAGCTCTGCGCTCATTGGCTGACCCACAGCAGTTCTTCACTGGCAAGCTTTATGTTCTCATGTACCAGCTAAAGCTGCCAGCTGAAGAACTGTTGTGGTCAGCTGTTCCCCTGCCTCCAAGATCGGCACGTTTCCAGGAGCGAAACGGAGATAATGACAGAATAAAATCTCAGCACCGAGTCAGAGAACCATGTCACTTATGCAGCATGTTCACGTGCTCAAATTCGCACCGTGACACCTGCTGTATCATGTAACGAAAGTATTGCATCACGGAAGACCTCTGTCACTCTGGGTTAGTTTTCTATTTCTTTTTTTTTCTTTTTTTTTGCTGGGCATGAGCTTCATAGGGTTTTTATTTTTTAATGAAATGTTTTTTTACATCTACCTATAAAATATCGAGATTAATTGCAACTAGCTTGCATCATCATGCTGTCGTATGTGCCTCTTTTTTTTTCCCTGGATAAGGTTAGGTTGCAATTTGAAATTCCAATGTGTAGATTTTTATTCAGAATTTTACTTGTGAAATGTTTTAATTTGTTTATTGTGGAAGATATATGGCATCTCTGAAGAATCAAAGCTCAAGTAACTAACATTTATGCTTACAATGGTGATTAACTCAGAAATACTTGTGCTAACTTCTGAAGTAGTTTCAGTTTCGATGGGACAATTGTATAACTTTCCTTGAATCATTTCTGCTTTGAAAGCTGTAAAATGCAAAGGAATGCATAGAAAATAAAGACTGAGTGGTGTCTTGCTTGTGGCCTCCAGCAGCCATAAATTGAACTTCAATAGAGCGGGCAGCGCTCGGAGCAGGATGTGAGAGGGAACACGTCCCTTTAAAAGCTGCCAGCCAGTGTGGAACACAGGGAAGGAATGTTCTGATACCTTAACAAAACCAGATGCTTCGGCTTTGCTTTCCCTTCGCACACTTGCTCTCCCTCCTCAAGCTTTCACCAACACCACAGATGGAAGCAAGAACCGGCCAGGCTTCCTTTCAGCATCTCTGACGTACATTTTCCTCTTCATCAGCTACCTTAATGTGGTCTAGCTCCTTTGCTCTGAGTGTGTGGCCCAATCTCTTTATCTGCTTGTCTGTGCCTCTTTACCTACACATCCTTTATATTGGCAAGCCTTTTCCTCATCCTCTCTCTACCCCAGCAATCCTTTACTTGCTGGCACAAACGCAGGAGACGGCGACAGGATTATTGCAGTCTGTCTCCTGTACATCCTCCTTAGGTAGCCCTGCCAGCATCTTGCATTCATACGTTATAAAACTGTATAAAAGGGTTACTTTGTGACCTTGTATGTTGCTTAGGTTTGTTTCAACTCTATGGTGCAGCTCCCTAAGGCTGCTCCCAGGGAATTGGACTGAATGTATTAGGAGGTTGCATGTGGAACACAGCAGCACCAAGATGGATCCACCTGATTTAACTGGCTAAAACTGGTTTGTTGCTGTATTTATTTTTTTTTCTTAACAGATGCTGGCGCAGTGCTAAAGAAAGGGTTTACTATCTAGTTTTGAGTACTTTGAAGTGAAGCTCTGTTGAAAGGTTATAAGTCCTCATAACTTGCCTGCGACTGATGATTCTCTTTAATGTAAATTGTAATTAGTTGATCCCAGAAGCTGAGGGGCATTTCTTGAATTTTTATGTCATCCTCTTGTTTGCATTTTTGTGGTTTTTGATGCTGAAGATATGAGTAGAAACTTAAAGTAGGAGGAAGTTTTCTAAAAAAATGATCCTACCGTGTGAAGCACATAGAACACAGAACTGTGCTTTATGCAGTCTGAATTTAAAAAAAATCTGGAAATTGACTTAACTATTTTTCCAGGTCCAGATTCATGTGAAAAAAGAAAAATCATGAACATTTGGATTTCCAGGTTTTCATTGTTCTGTTGTCTAAACGTCTGTCTTTAAATCTGAGCATCTTCACTTCTATTTTATTGAGGTTTTGTGGTTATTATTTGAAAATTGGCTCAGAACTTTGAAACTGTGTCTTGAAAATACTGATATTTTAACAGTACAAATCTGTCAACTCTGCCAAAATCCAGCAGTTTCTGACTGGAAACACTGAATCTCTTCCATTCATAGATTACTGGTGGTACACCATTAGTTACCTCCATTTCCTCTCTAAATAATCACTGTCTTCTCTGTAAATTTTGTACATTTTCTTAAAAGGGCCATCAGTGGCATTTATGTAAACCACAATGTCATTTTGACATTAGAGTGAGTGGTTTTGGGATGGTAAAAACCCACTTTGCAAACAAGCAATTAGCTGAGGCCTCTGGGATTTATTTAACTGGATTTATACACAACAAAACAGCAGAAAATGTCTTTAATTTTGTTTCTAATTTTAACAGGACTTGAACTGAAACTTTTGAATTATCTCTGGCATTTTCTCAGCCAACATGTACATTTGGGGCCCATATGGGTCAAAAATAGGATGAGTAATGAACCTCAGATGGGATTGTACATGCTTAACCTAATGGGCCCACGTTATTTGCCTCAATGAGTTTGCTGCAGGGCAACTCTGGGTAATAAAAATAAAGGGGAGGGGAGATTTTTACAGATCCTTATGTTGCACATTTTGCACTTTTCATGTACAGGATAATTTTGCCAATGTGGACTGAATCTGCAAACCAAATGGATCCCACACAAAAAAGGCACACTTATTGCCACTCACTCACATGTTGGGAGTTGCTGTGCAGCACATGGCTGTCCCTGTCTCCAGGCTTATGGACTTAGCTAGCACACTTTCTGCTGGAGACATACATTACACTGCCAGGGGCAACATAAATAATAATCTGCTTAAGGTATGAGCTGCTCTGTTGGCAGTAATAGCAAACCCTTAGGAAAGCAAATCACAGTATCTGTACCTGAGACATTAATGAGCACACTATACCAGAGTGTGGCTGTCAGAGCTCTACTGTCTGTAATCAACATAAACTAAACTTTACTGATTACTATGTACTGATGAGACCACAGATTTAGTTCTGATGGCATAAAGCAAAAAAGGTAAAGGCTGCTCTAAGCGTTCCTTAAATGCTTTCACACAGAGATCCGTGAACATCTTGGATCGCAACTGTAAGAATTATTCTCCATGATACCTGACAGAGGTGTCGGCCATCTTTCTAAGACTTCTGATCGCTGTGTTTTAATCAACCTCAGACAGGCTTCTGCTAATGATTTGTTTTCAGACAAACAGCTTGTAATCTGTTTTACTTATTTAAAGGCTTTCAGAAACATTCAGCGACGTGGTGAAAGCCAGGAGGTCAGGAAAGAGAAAGGAATGTGAATGCTTAGGCCATCTATGCTGGCAGTGATTGTTCTTGTTTCCTTTTCATGTTTTTCAAAGTTGATCTGCAAATACTTGGCTGTAAATAGTATTTTAATTATATCACATTATATCAACACTATCCAGCTCCAAATCCTGATAAAATCTGAAAAGAGTGAATACCACTGTTTTTCATTGGCATTATTTTCAGAGCTTTGTATGCAGACAGAAAAAAAATCACTAAAAGTTTTATCTTAAAGCTTAGGGTTGCCTTTGCACTTTGAAAAGTGTTCCACATGTCACATTCTTGCGCAGCGTGTACAGACCTCTGGCCACTGACTTTGACCCCTCGCTGTTAGTAGATTAACTTCAATTCATCTGCCTCTTGCAGAGAAGGTCGCAGAAACTTCCTATCATCTTTGCCAGCACTTAAATCTCACTCTCCTCTTTCTGCTGCACAGATAACATCCCTCTTGACACTTTATTTAATTTACTTAGGATCTAATCTACGTTCTTTATCATTTCCTTTCTTGTGGTCCCCTGAGTGTAATGGCCAGTAGAGACGTTTGGCAGCCTTAAATAATAAATAAACTCAAAGAGCTAATGGAAAATATGTGCAGATAAGCCACCAGTGTTTCTGTATGCACATCGATGATCAGACTTCTTTTGTGGCCACTGTTTTCAGTTGTGGTGTCTTCCCTCTATCCCCTGTTCACCTCTTAAGTCAAAGCAGGAAGAGGATCCAAGGCCAGGTCTGAAGAGGTTTACAAACTCCCCTAAATTCTTCCCTGTGGATGAAATCATGTGAAAGCTGCTTAGGCAGATTATCCCTGCCTCGACGGCAGCTGGCAGCGAGATCCTTGGAAGTGCACCTGACTCAATAGCCGACTCGTGGTGACGCAAACACAGCCTGCGGTGCAGCGTGCTTCCACAATCCCCCCATGACCTTTAGCCTGGAGATGGAGAAGTGAATCCTGTCACCAAAAGCATGCGGGGACTGAACTGATGCATGGGGCAGCACACGATGATGGGATTATGCGCTGTTTAGACATTTAAATTAGCCATAAATTAGTAATTGCAGTAAGCAGGTATTTGTTCCACTTTGGATTTTAGTCTATTCGATTTGTTTGCTTGAGATGGTTATTCCTAAAAAGCAGCTGCACAGAATCCAAGCTGATTGAGATCCAGTGTTGATGGTGAATGTGGTGGCCATGTGTTGGTTTGCTGTGTTTTTATTGGTCTTGTTGAATCACAGAAGTAAATAAACCCTTTGACTATTATGTGCCTGGGGTGTGATGATCTAGCTCCTTGACTTGTTCCATCACTTGACTTTTGGTTTATGTAAACAAGATCATACATCTGTTGTCTTTTACCCCACCTGTGTTGCTTTTCACAAGTTAGAGATGCAGAGCTAATTGAGCCAATGGAGGCCATCCTGTTTGGTGCCTGCCTGGGAGATTACATGAGCCACAGATACAAATGAAATTTCTCAAAACCAAAGCTATGACTGAGAAAACGTCTAGGACACTTTTTGAACAACAGCCACACAGAAAATATAATGATCAAGTAAGATCCTTTCACTTTTAGCCACTCTCAGCATATTGCTTCACACTGGAGTTTGATTAAAGCCAGGAAAAGGTCAAAGTTTATGGTCACAGTAATGCATCTTTTTGTTGTTGTTGTTGATTACTTCTTTTCAAATGTGCTCTTGAATTTCCAGAGATCATTTGTGATGTGTTGCTTTTTCAGACCTTTTAGCCTACTTCATGCTGTCAGAAAGGTTCCGTCGAAGAATTTCTTGTTTAATCAGGACCAGGACGTGTTTTGGAAAACTGAATTAAATGTGAAAAAAATATGTATTTTATTCAATTTAATTGTGCAAAAAATTGACATCAGCGTATTTCATTATTGTCTCTCTTAATATTTGTTCACTCCTGGTGTGTGTGTTTCTCTTAAGTGATAAAATCGCTCTGTCCCCAAATCCTGCCTGCTCGACTCTCAATAGTCGCTGCTGAATCTAGTCCTGCACTGTCATCCAACAATGCGATGAGACGTACTGACCTTTTCTGCCGAGCCAGTGGGGACATGAAAAGGGGAAGTGGGACGCTGAATGTGACTGAAGCGCAGCCGACAGAAAGCGACAGGACCGACCTGAGTATTTCCCGGAGAAAAATACGGCCTAATCTGCTGGTTAGACCAGGTCAAGGGATTAAACTCCGCTGCTTGCCGACCGTCCCGTCTGACCTCCACAGAATTAACCTGGCTCTGTCCTTAAGACAAATTGTCTGCATCTTTTTGAAGCAGTTAAAGCTCTGACGGACTTTCACATTTAAGCTGAATTTTAGATTTCGGGCACAGCAGAAAACTACAAATCATGAGGCTGCACTTTCTCACGTGTTTCAAAAACGGAGCGGCGACTACATTGCTTTGGGAGCTAATCCAAGTTATGTGAATAATGCATCAATAGCAGCCTTACAGTAT